ACAATTTCTTTATCCATTCATCAGTTGATGGACATTTAGGCTCTTTCCATAATTTGGCTATTGTTGAGAGTGCTGCTATGAACATTGGGGTACAAGTGCCCCTATGCATCAGTACTCCTGTGTCCCTTGGATAAATTCCTAGCAGTGCTATTGCTGGGTCATAGGGTAGGTCTATTTTTAATTTTCTGAGGAACCTCCACACTGCTTTCCAGAGCGGCTGCACCAATTTGCATTCCCACCAACAGTGCAAGAGGGTTCCCGTTTCTCCACATCCTCTCCAGCATCTAGAGTCTCCTGATTTGTTCATTTTGGCCACTCTGACTGGCGTGAGGTGATACCTGAGTGTGGTTTTGATTTGTATTTGCCTGATAAGGAGCGACGCTGAACATCTTTTCATGTGCCTGTTGGCTATCCGGATGTCTTCTTTAGAGAAGTGTCTATTCATGTTTTCTGCCCATTTCTTCACTGGGTTACTTTCAACCTAAGTAAAATGTTAACTCATCGTAGTGAATTGTTTTTATAACTTTTTTTGTCTCCAGCTGTAACTAGCTGGTGGGACAGGTAAATATTCTCTAGTGAATTTAGATGTCAAGCCCAACTTGCCTTAGCAACGTCTATTGGTCTTTCATAATCTTCCTGCAGAAGAGCTAGGGTCCATACCTGCCTGTTCTGTTTGCCTCCCCAGTTTCTCTTATAACAATCTGGACTTGTTGAGAGAAACCTTCCCCTTATTGGGTGCTTTATTCTTTGATAATAGTTTGACATTTGTTCACTAATCACATTCAAAATCTCTCTCTGTAGTCCTGAACTATTTCTCTGATCAAGTCTTTACCAGAAGTAGTTTCCTACTATATATAGTAGAAAAACATATTTCTTTCTTTTCTTTTTTCTTTTCTTTTCTTTTCTTTTCTTTTCTTTTCTTTTCTTTTCTTCTTTTCTTTTCTTTTCTTTTCCCTTTCCTTTTCTTTTCTTTTCTTTTTTTAACCACTAGGTTATATTCTTATTTAGGCTTGGGAATCATTGGAGGTTCTCTGAAAAGTCTGATAATACAGACTAGTTTGATGACAAGGGATTTGGATATAAATGAGATCTGGAGGAACTCACAGTGTAGGGAGATAAACTCATAATAATAAATACAAGAAAATGGATTTTAGTTATTCACTGCTACAATAGCTCTGAGGAGGAAAATATTACATGTATTTGAGAGGGTTTTTATTATAAAGAAGGTGATTTTGGCTGCATGGCTTTCCAGAGACCCAGAGTACTTATTGTACATGATTTGTCTAGAAAATGGTAAGAGTTACAGTGTGAACAGAAGAAACTTTGCTATGGGGGATATCATCCATGAGAGATTGAGAAAAATGGGGCCTGATTTAAAAGGATTTTGCTGGGGCGCCTGGGTGGTGCAGTCGGTTAAGCGTCCGACTTCAACCAGGTCACGATCTCGCGGTCCGTGAGTTCGAGCCCCGCGTCGGGCTCTGGGCTGATGGCTCGGAGCCTGGAGCCTGTTTCCGATTCTGTGTCTCCCTCTCTCTCTGCCCCTCCCCCGTTCATGCTCTGTCTCTCTCTGTCCCAAAAATGAATAAACGTTGAAAAAAAAATTAAAAAAAAAATAAAATAAAAGGATTTTGCTAGCTAAATTTAGGAGACTGAATTTATCATGTAATGATAGAGGGGAGGCTGTAGAGGACACATATATTTGACTGACAACACAGCAGAAGCATCAAAATAGAGCCTTTTTCCTAGAAATTATAATGCAGACTTCAGCAATACTCATAGGATCATACCATAAATTGCAGGTGACATCCTAGGATAAGTGAGATGCCCTATTTGATGATTTCTAACACTTTTTCTCACTGGTGTTTGTGCTTTTGAGTAATTTTGGAATTGATGGCTCATGAAAATTAATCAAAGATCATGAGGGACAGTTGATTAAATTAATCCCAGACCCAGTGAGAACTCAAACTATTTTATAGCGGTTTTCAAACAAACTGCTAAATTCTAATTTGGATAATAATCACATATATAACTAAAATTCCTTCAAATTAAAAATTTCTTCAAGATAGAATATACCTTTCTAATGCTGGCTGGAAGAACTGGTAATGTAAGTTATTAATGTGGATCATCATGCTTGGGGGATTTAAGAGGAATTTAACTTCTCAAGATCCAAGATCTGGGACAATTTTGATATAGGATAGGGAGAAGTGAACTTTGGATGAGTTGAGGATTCAAAATTTAGGAATTTGAACTCTTAATGACTGAAAATGGTATAGGCCTTTGGAATGGAGGAAAATATTTTCTTACTCTGAGGAATATACACTTTTGTGTTGCTTTTTCTGAGTTTCTTTTCTTCTTTTGTAAGGGAGTCTTTTTCAGACAATTTTCAGATTAATGGAAACTCCCTACAAAGAAATTCATTCAAAAAAAAAAAAAAAAGAGAGAGAAAAAAAGAAAAAGAAATTCATTCAGGTTGAAGTTGACCCTTATGAAAAAATACAGAGTTTTACTTAAAAATCACAAGAAAAACAGCAGATTAGAAATGAGGTAACTTAATCCAGCTAATCTGCTTATTCCCCAGATGCTCTTCAAAAGAGCTCTACTGGACCCCATCGTTTTCCCTCAACAGAAAGTTCCCTAAGTGCTTATACTTGTGATGTTCCCATCTTTCTGGCCAATTCCACTTGTTCTTAATGCCCATTTCAGAGTCTCATTTGAAGCTGACCTCACTGACCTCCTCCAGCACACATTCTATAATTTCTTCTTCCCCCACGATCCTAGAACTAGATGTGGTTTTTCATCATGTTCTTTATCACATGTATCTGAGCTCTTTGTTAGAGTATTGGTCTCTTACATAGACTGTGCATTCTCCTGGCCAGGAACAACATTGTGACTGTATCCTAATCTAATAATGCAATGCTGCCTGGTTTGTGTTAGCTTCTCAACAAATGCCAAATAAGGCAAGGGGAAAGATTAATGGACAATAGCTCTTGAATTTTGGGCATCTGATTTATTGACATGTTTGTATCACCTTTTGTCTTGCAGAGGATCAAATTCCCAGGGGCTTCCCTACCATTGACATGGGCCCACAGTTGAAGGTGGTTGAGCGTACACGCACTGCCACCATGCTTTGTGCAGCCAGTGGGAATCCGGATCCAGAAATAACTTGGTTTAAAGATTTCCTGCCCGTCGACACAAGCAACAACAATGGCCGTATTAAGCAATTACGATCAGGTAGGGTCTTGTTACTGTTTCCACTAACTCTTAGAGAATTTTTTTTTAGCTTTCTCTCTCTTTATTTTTATTTTAATTTGATTTGATTTAATTTTAATTTTTAGGTATTGATTTTTCTCCCTCTTCTCTTTCTCTGTTATTTAATGTGTTGTCCATGTTTGTGATGTCATAGCCTGTTTCAGAGTCTGTCTTTCTCTCTGTGTGTTTTGCAGCTTCTGTTTAATCCACATTGCTCACTGCTGTGACTGTATTTTTGATGATTTTTTTTTAATTTACTGCTTTTCTGCAGTATTTGATGGTTCCATTTTCTCCTCTTTCTTTCTTCTCTCTCTGTTTTCTTTTGAAACAAATTTATTTCAACATTGGACTTCATTCAGAACTTGCAAGGAGCTCCAATGGTTGTATCCATTAAAAACCAAAATATTCATATTAAACACCAAAATGATTCAATTTTATTAAAGTGTGTTTTCTCTGTCTCTTATGCATTTGAACTCATCAAAGTACCAAAGTTTAGTTAAGTTTGGTCACATCTGCTTTCTTTTCACTAATACATAAATGACAGAAATGTTATCTCATGAGTAACCAGATGTATTTTTTCGAAAGTCCTTTACCAAATACCAATGCAAGGAGGGGATTTTTATTAATATTATTATTATATTCTTGTGAGTGAGCATTTTCTACACATAAGCCACAGTAGTGTGCGCCCACACTAAAGAGTTTTGAACCCTCCAGTGACTGGATCTACAGAAGTCTGCTTTTGGTGTAGACTCCAGCTTTTGCTGCTTCCTCCTCTTTCCCCTGGCTGCCCTTTTCTCCCTCTCCCACCCCCATCCCAAGTTCATCCCTTTGCTCTCTTTAGATTAAAGATAGAGATAATTCTAAATTTCTTAAGTTTTAGAGCCTGTCCCTAGGCAATTTCACCGGGACATGTAGTAATAAGCTGTTTACTTTGACGTTGGGAGTTATATTGATATAGAATTCTAAGTTGTTTAACTGCCTGTCTTCCCAGAATTCTCAGCTTTTGACCTGTCCTGTGATGTTAAAGCGTCTTGTTAACTGCCTTTTTTGCTTGTTGTTCAGCAGAATTGTGTAGATTAGCATTCTGTTATTGTAAATAAAGAATTAATTATTCACATGTAACATAGATGATTTAGTATATAAAGCTTTAACTCTGAAAAATTTGTACCAAATTATAAGGAATATAATAATATTTTTATGCTGTCTTTCTTCTCTCCGTATTTAAATCTCCAGAATCTATTGGTAAGTGCTTAGTTCTGAAGCGCACTTCACCCTCACTAATTTCCATATCCAGAATATTATTATTATTATTATTATTATTATTATTTTATTATTAATAAAATGCATGGCATGCATTTTACTAACTGTCAGTGTAGACACCAGATCTCGGTAGTGGCGCGCACACGCACACATCCACAGATCCGTTATTGTAAGAACACTGTGTACAAAAATAAAATAATACACAAGTTATATCACACAAATGTAGCATAGTGAGTAGCATAAGATATTCAATCAACAGTGTTTGTTTCCAGTTAGTCATTAGTATTTCCTATAACAGTATATATATATGCGTACCTATATATATACTTAAACAGATTAGCCAGGATTTTTCCTAAACTATGTCTTTAAAAAGTTTCGTTTAGTTTTTTGGGTTTTTTTTTTTTTAAGAATATGAGGCATATAAGATATAATTCTAATCCTATATGACCCCAGACCTATGAACTCAGTTGTTTCTCTGAGAAAAGCAATGCTGCCTATTGTGGTCTTTGCCCTCTGTGGTATAATGCAACTTGCTTTTATAATCTAATAATACTATCTAATATATTCCTGTTTTACCAGTATAGTAATTCAAGTTTCTTTTAAGACCTTATTTAATTCTGTAAATCTAATTTAATTCTTCTCCCCAGCCCTAGCCTCCTCCTTCTCGTACTAATGCTTCTTCTTTCTAATCTTATTTGCATTCATATTATCCACCCAGGTGGTACACCAATAAGAGGTAAGAGTGCTGAACTAACGTTCACAGAATGATCTTGCTCATTCTTTCTGTCCTGTCATCACTCCCATCTTTGTCTTGTTTTCAAACTCATTCCAATAATATGTCCATCAACTTTATTTTTCCCCTTTGTACTGTTTGGTTATGATCAGTGACTCTCATATTGTGAGTTTTCCTTTTCTTTTTCTTTTCTCTTTGTTTTGTTCGTTTCTTTATTTATGGAGATGATTATTTAAGTTGTGATATGCTTCAAAGAAAGCATATCCAGGTCTTTAGACCACAGACCAGTCACAGCGTACCATCTGTCCCTCTTTTTTTCCTTTTCTTCTTCTTCCTTTTTCCTTTTTTTCTTTTTTTTTTTTTTCTTCTTTTTCCTTTTTTTTTGTCCAACCGGAGAAAAAAAAGATCATTTTTTTCTTCCTTAGCTGTTCTTGTTCTGGACCAAAGCCAAGATGGTCTGGAGAACAGTGGCAGACATGCAGAAGACAGCCTGGAACATCTGCTTTTTGTCTTTATCTTTCAAAAGGTTTTTGCTTTTGTTCTTCAATTCTTTTTTCTCTTACTGTCTTAAAAGTCAAAGAATGACTCCCCTTTCCACCTGATCCCACTCGCCTACAACCTGACAGCAATGCTTTTTTCCCCCCACTTCTTTTTTTCTTGGATTACTCACTTCTGGATTTTTGGGTCTTCTGTCCTTCAGGCTATGGAAACAAAAGGTGCTCCGTATTCTTGGTGGTATGTGATATTGCTGGTTTGTCATACTTTGACTCAGTGTGCATTTCTTTTAGAATTCTTGTTTTGGATTTTTCTTGGGGTTTTGTGACACCACACTGCTAATCCCACTGGTGGATTTTGATGGGTGTCTTAGGGGATCCGTCTCGAGGTCCTCAAGCAGTGGCTGGTTGGTTCTTCCTTGCTGGCGTAGGCCGTGCTTTTTAACTTTTTTAAAACCTTCTAATTCAACTGCTCTTTGTTTTTCAGCAAATGTAATAAATGATTGTAAGTCGTGGCAAACTGTCTTTCTTTTCTTAAAAATCTGCATGTCTTAAGGGAGTTTTGTTTCTTTAAGTAATATTTTCATGATATATAATGACTAATTTTAATTTTTTGCTTTGTGCAGCCTTTTTGTACTCGCTGCGTATTTTTGCCTTTCTTCAGCAGAAGACTTTCTTGAAAACCCGGCCTGGTTTTTTTTGAGCATACCTATCTTTTGCGCCACTTTTGGTACCCAAATGGAACAAAACAAAACCACACCAAAAATTAATCTTTTGTTTGATTTAAAAGCCATACTTCCTTGAAGCAGCCTCACCCATCTTCATTTTATTAGTCTAGGAAATGAGAATATTAATTATGACTAGAAGTCTTGCTTGGGAAAAGAGATAATTGTTTTCTTATGCTAGCATTGATGATGTAAAAAAGAAATAATCTCTATATGTTT